ATTTTGTGCAGACGGCATTTAGGTAAAATAAGCTTATTTATATTGCGTAAGTTTCTACTTGTACAGTCTTTGAGTTTTTTAAAACTCGCTAAGTTCTTCCGTGTATACATAATATTTTCATAAATGTAAATAAAGATATTTAGTCTTTAAAGCACTGACGTAATGACTCTCTTGAACCCATACCATAAATAGAACGTATGGCTCTCTTTTGTAAAACAAATATAGTATTTATATCGGCTGCTTTACCCCACAGCAGTATGCCATAAGACATTATGCTATGGAAATAAATAAAATATACAAGTTTAGCCGTCGCCACGTCTGTTAATTGCCTAATTCTTCTAATTGCATATGCAGCAGAACTGAGTCTACTGGCCAATTTTGAAATATGGGGCCCCCATTGTAATTTCGAGTCTACTGTTATACCTAAAAAAAATCATTAACAAAATTTACTATTTCGTCATTTAATAACTGTGTATTTATTAGTCTTACATTAGGAAGTGTAAATTTTATCTTTGTTTTGCTGGAATTTAATAATAGGTTATTACATGTAAACCAATTTAATATTGCAGACATAGCACAATTTAATATAATTGATTACTTTGACGTCCAATTTTATATATCATCCGCAAACAGCACTATATCTGCAATTTTCTCTACCATAAAGGGAAGGTCATTTATGTAGATTAGAAATGAGAAAGGAGGCCTAAATTGACCCTTGTTGGAACGCCCATCTTAATATTAGCTCCCTTAGATTTTACACCGTCAATATCTACAGTTTGAACCCTATTTAAATAAGTTCTCATTAATTTTAGATCATTATCTCTTAGATGTTCGAGTGTACAAAAGCGTTTTATGTCCACACAATCAAATGCCTTTGATGTCACAAAAAACTCCGAGTGCATCCTGTGACCTCTTCGAAAATATGTGACAACACCTGCGTTTACTTAAATGAAACCATATTGCTGACTGTGAAGCAGTGCGTTAACCCTGAAGTGATGTAACATTTGATTTAACATTATCTTTTCAAACACCTTACTTAGAACTGGCAAAATAGATATAGGTCTATAGTTCCCTGGCTCAAATTTATCTCCTGATTTAAATAGTGGGATTAATTTGCTAAATTTCATTAAATGTGGAAAAACGCCATTATCAATACATTTATTAAAAATAGTGGCTAGATATGGAGCAACAATATCTATGAAAGAACTAACTACTTTTACAGACATGCAAAGGTCTTCCGTATTTTTTAAATTTAGCTGTTTGAATATATTTTATGATATCACATGTGAAAATTTTCTTAAAGAACAACGCGATATTAGTCTCTAAATTTTTTTGCGATTGAGAAAGTATTGTTTTTAGATCCCGTTAATGAAGATCGAATGTTTTGTTGTAAAAAAATATGTTTTCTTTTTACAATATTTAATAAAATAATTAAATCAAATAATTTATTATTTTTAGTTTGTTAATTTTTATCCACAACTCTGGCCATATGATCAGGATAAACTGATTGACCGGAATAAAAGTAGTTTATGTTCTTCTCGATTCCATATATAATCAAATTTGATAATTGGTAGAGACTTCAAGAAAGCAAGAGGTAACAAACAAAAAACAAACAAGCTCGTTTTTACATCAATAGTATGTATTATACAAGTGTAAGCATGGGACACCTCTTTCTTTGAGTATGAGTAATGAGTATACTTTATTTGCATTATACAATATAGGAAATAAGCAAGACAATTTACAAACACAACGATACAATTGTATAAGTACAGTAAGGCGGTCTTATTGCTGAGAGTAATCTTGGATATGGTAGTGAATTTACAATATGGGCGAAACAGTACACTCTGACATATCCTTGGTACTGCTCATGTCTATAGGCGACGATTACTACGTTCCATCAGGAGTGCCGTCAGCTTGTTTGCCATTCTAAGTTGTATAAAAAAAATTGAGGGATCAGCAGTAGCTTTCCTCTTAAAAAAGCACCAAAGCCTTATTGCGGTTGCAAATCTACCTGCCAAGCGTGGTGTCTATTGGCCAAATCCCCCAAGAGGAATGGAGAGGAGAGGGGCAGGAGAGAAGTAGGGAGAGGCCTATCTTCAGCAGTGAACAGTTAACGGCTGATATGATATGATATAAATGTAAAATACATTACTAAAAGTAATATTTAATTACTAAATATTCTTCAAAGCACAAATTTTAATTGGCATGTTCAAATCTTAATCAACTCCCAATAGATGGCGTAGTCATCTATTAATATTTTAGTCATCACTCCTATATTAAGAATAAATAACATAATATTGATATTAAATCTAACGTAAACATGACCGTTGACTTATATATATTTATTTCACGTTACAGACAGATACCATTGCCACATGATCAAGGAACGAGATAAAGATAGCGCGGGTACGCGCAGAAATGCGTTGACCTATGCTTGTTAGTTGATAACTGCGGGTCAGTTAGCACTAGGGATGTTCATACACTGCACTAGTGAACATTGCTAGTATTAGTCATGTATGTAGGTGATAAAAGATAAAATATAATTAATACCCTACTTCTCACTTGTATGAAAGTTGAATACTAACATCCGTGTTATTCATCAGCGCTGGAGAGAGTTAGATCACGATAATTCACTAGGATTGACCACGACAGTTTCCAGGAAGGATCATATTATCCGTCTATTTCCTAATGCTACCTTCTACCACGAAATAGGATATATTTTATCTTTTCACCCTTTCCTATAAATTAAAAGATGTTTCTTATTTAAAATACGTAATCCTGCGTTTAGAAATCATAATTATATTAATAATAAGAATCATAAATACATTTCGATTCCATAAAATTTGAATTCACAACTCTCAGCTATCCGGATAAGTTCATTCCCTTATTTATTATTATAGTTATATCATAGTATAGGAAGAGGGCCTAAGCACGATAGACGTAATAAGCTAATGACGTTTGAAATAAAAAATGTTTAAGTACATTCTAAGTTTAATATAAAAATTCTTTAATCACTTTCATTTAAAGTTTTATATATTTTTGTATGTTGTACGAGTATCAACCATTAACTGTCCACTACTAGGAAGAGTTTTGCCAGTAGTTGCCACGTTTGGCAGGCGGGCGGTCAACCGAAGTCTGACGTTGACGTTGTTACTCATCCCTCCATCATAAGCTCCCTTAGTTGCTTCTTACGCCACCCACGGGACAAGAAGGGGTGGCCTATTCTATGCTGGGACCTATACGGCTATAAAAATATTTTAATTGTACAGAACGAAAGTTATGAAAATAGAAAGATATATGCAATACATACGTAAGAAAACATAGAACTGATTATTATTTTTTAAAGTAGGTTAAAAATAATATATTAATGACAGTGTACATTATTCTTCGAACTAATATAACTACACGAACATACGTTATCTTTTCGAACTTTTATTAGGCCAAACAAGGGAACTAAGATATTGGAGTAACATTCACTTAGGTTACTGTCTACACTATTTTCATTACTTCTTACACTTTAAATACAATAAAGGCGGGGTGGGGATTAATTGTTAGTTATGTGAAGCGAACCTTATCGGGTCGGCCTTCACGTAGTCCCCACTGGAAACCATCGTGCTTAATTCCAGGTGTATTCGTTACGATGGGCTAACTGACCTGCCTTTTCATTCTCACCTATCATCTCTCACTGGTGCCCCGCCGGCGTATACCGTTAGCGCAGGTGGGGTAACTATTCCATTATCATCCATTAAAAAAAATTCAGTAAAAGCTAGTAAATATATAAAATAAATAAAATATATTTAATATGTTATGAAGTAATAAAAAAGTAACATATGTATTTTTTTATTTAATTAAATAAAATATTTATACATATTGTTGTAGGTACTGAACAGTAAAAGGGCATAATACAAAAAAAATATTTTTAAGGTTCCAAAGATTATTTCCATTGGAATAAATACAATTTTCTTAAGAGAATTGCATTTATTCTTGAAAAGCGCATTTCTCGTGTTACAGGATTAGAAATTTACAAGAAATGTTACTCAGGTTATTATTTAGATAAGGTTATTCTATATAAAATATAATATAATGGAAGAAAATAATCTTTATTAACTGAAAAAGGTAAAAAGCTTTTTAATGGATTTTTTTTTTTGTTTTGCTTATGGGGATCACATTGTTTTTATTTGTCATGAAAAAATTCTCAAGAAATTATAAATAATGTAGACATGAAAATATGTTTATAATATAGACAGAATCTGAAATAAAGATATCCGTAAAAGAATCAAAGTGGCCGATGCAGGCGAAAGTATAAGCAAGCTGAAGTGGCAATAGGTCAGTCGTTTACTATGAACTGAAGTAATCCTGAATAGACTAATTATTACAACCAGCTTGTATTCATACGACTCGATAGATACATACATATTATGTGTTACCTATATATGTTAATAATAGGGCTTCACAGCACATAATATAGGTTATATTTTGAAATAATATATCATTTTAGTTTAAATATTATGTGCCAAGAATACTAGTTAGTTATAAATATTAGCTAATAATAACTTCACACCTTTGCTCTTTTGGATTGACTAAAACTATAAATCACTACAAAGCTACTTATTTAAATTAACGCACTGTCATTCTGTGATTCCTTTAATTTGTTTATTTATTATTTATAATATAATTAGATTTAATTAATTATTGATTATTTATATGATTGTAATAATTAATACGTTTATAATATACAAAATAACTAAAATCAACTAATTAATTGATGTTTAGTTATTATATAATTACAACATAATTAAACATAAATTTGTTATATTTAATTACATTTTAATTAAAACTATCTATTTAATTTATCATTATTATAAATATTACACCATTGTATAACACACGTAAGCCTATGCAAAGTGAATAAACAACTTAATTTATTGTTAATTATAATTAAACCTGAATTATTAATGTTTTATTAATGAGTACTTGCAATAAATATAAATATAACTCACCTATTCAAATCGTGATATAAGCCATCAAAATAAAATGCACTACACTCACTTCACCAACACACACACAAACATAAGCGAACGTAGGCACTAGTAATTAGGTGCGCAAACAGTCGACTGCGAAGTTCGTTAATCAAGTGAATTGTTTGAAAACTTCGCTAAACCACGTGTTGCACGAAAAATCCCGGGCAACATTAAAACCACGGAAAAACTGTTTTACTAAACAGTAGACGCGCGCCACTTGCTTCTCCACCCCACTATAACTGACAACTGAGTGACCGCTACGTATTTACGTACGTGTAAAACAATTTATTTTGAAAGCAATAGCAAACGCATCGAATGGGCACATCGATAAAGCAGAAGATGTGCGAAAAACGGCAACTTCTTTTAAGATAGCATTCTATTTTTGAATATCTGCCAATGAGACGCGACAGCCGAGCTCCGATTGGTTGTTTTGTTTTTCAAGCCAACAAAATGAACGATTTGTTATTTCAACATTTAATTTCCTTTGAAATCGATAAATGATTATATTAATTATTATTTAAATCTTTGATATAATAATTGTGTAGGTGTGAATAGATAAATAGAAAGCTTCTTGTGAAAAATTCAATAATTTAGGCAGTTGGTACTAGTAAAATTGATGTTGACTCTTGAACATTTTTATAGCTATTAAGAATTATTAGATGACATCAAAAGATATATTTTTTTTTAAATGTCCATTCAAGAGACAAATTTTAATCTATTAAATCGTCATCAACTTTTCAACTTGGATTCTGTTTTTTTTTGCTTGCAACCGTTTTTTGCAAGTAACCGAAAAACACCACTAAATGTCCATCATTGCTTTCCAAACAATTTGTTAAACTACATCCCCATTTTGTTCAACAAACGGCAAACAGCAGATACGGGTTACATAAAGCTCTACATATACGTAGCGATTATCATAATGATCTGTTGTATGATCTCTGAAATCGAAAGATGATACAGATGATGATGATCGATTATTCGTGAGTGTGATAGAATTCAATATGTATACCTGATCTATAATATATTAATATACAATACAAATTGCGTTCCCAAAGGGCAATAAAATAATAAAAAAATACTATTTAAAAATGCTTATATATATGTGTGTGTGTGTGTTTGTGTGTGTGTGTGCGTACGTTCATGCGTTTGCGGATTTTTTTATTACTATCTTATCTATATCATAGTCATTTTATTTTAATAGTAGAGAATCTTAAAATGTTAGCAATCGCACTTAAACTAATGGCAGTGAAATCAAACAAAGTAATTCTAATGAACTAACTAATATTAAATTCCACAAAAGTTTTTAGTTTTATTAGTTGACTTTAACAGTGGACTTTAATAGTGGAATGTATGGGACAATATTATAATGAATTTATTGTAAAGAACTTAAAAACACTGTATCGTTTCGATTGATTAGTGATAAATCTCTTCGTGTATGGAGGGCATTAGACTTGTACGGATTCTTTTAATATAGTGATCTAGAGCTTTTTATATATCATTGTGTTCTAGTCTTGGATTTTTCCCAGACTTTGAACATAAAAACTAGAATGATCTCATTCGTACATACTCGTATTTTTTGAGGATATATCTACTTAAAATATATATTCCAATGAAATGTATTACTAGAGGGACACTTTGTATAAATTTTGTTTGCTTGTGTATCTCTGCCCCCCTCGTATACTATGAAGGAGTTTTTACTTGCATGGCTGTGTTGCGGTTTTAAGGGTGGGATATGGCAGTGAAATTACAGCGTACGGAGTCATAATAGCGTAGTCCTCAGGAATGGTAACGCATGAAGTGTTGAGGCGTCACAGTATATTCCGTGACGTTCATGGTACTGTTTTAGATGACTACAGATATATTTTTTTTTAATTATAAGGGCTTTTATCTTCTTCGTGGTTCAACTTTCCATCAGGCGAGCCATGAGATTGTTTGCCGTTCTAAGATATACATATAAAAAAAGCGTAAAACGATTTGATATTCTTTGTTTACATTTTTTTTTAAACTGTTATAAAGTTAAATGACTATGAAACAATTACTTATGGTTGAATGGATACATATACAAGTAAACTCGTACTTTCAAAGGTCGACGTAAAATTTATTAGCTTTTGTTCTTTTATATTTCAACGGCGAAGCTAGAATCAATATTGGTCAAAGCGAACGATTGGTTGGGCGCACACACAATGTTATACATCTTCTACTTTTACTATTATTTTAATACAAAATTGCAACTTTAAATATTTATTTATTTATACTTTATTGTATACAAAAAATATATTCTTATCGTCATCATCATCATAAATTCAGCCATTGTTGAAAACTGCGATAAATGCGATGCAAATACAGCTAAACTATTATATATTAATTATTTTATTATTATTTTAATTTTTACAGATATTCTCATCTCCACTCTTAAGGAGAGGCAGAAGCACAGTCGGTCGGGGTTCAGGGCTCCAGGGAGAGAAACCGGCGTACAATGCGGGCTGTATCTAAGAGCACCGCTTTCTGCATCTTTCGCAGGAGTAAGCCGCCTGGGAATCCCAACCGTCTGAGATGTTGTTTCAGTCTGATTGGGATAAGACCGTTCACCGATTATTATTATTATTACTGTAAGGCACCACCCAGTGGATGTAATAAATAAATACAAATTTATAAGAACGGCAAGAAAAATAAAATACATATTATGTTATCAATGTCCTTTTAAAAAAATTAAATAGAATCGACAGAATGCATTATATTTTTAATAGTAAAAAAATATAAGTGACCAGTACGTGCAATAATAAAAATAATTCATTCTTACATATCAAATTAAATCTACAACAGCCATTATTCGTCCACTGTTAGACATAAGTCTCCCCCATAGACTGCCATAAAGAACAGTCCTAAGCCACTTGCATCCACTAACTTCCTGCAATGCATTGTAGGTCGTCACTACATCTAGTGGGAGGTCGTCCATTATTATAATTTATATTAAATAAATATGTACAATAAGCGAGATTAACTCTTTAAAAGTACTTATTCTATTTATTCTTGCAAACTCTGAGTAGAAAGGAGCATTAATTACAAACGGGCTATTAATCTTTTATAATTTTAATATAAATGTAAATATTATATTTATTATTAAAAATAGTTTTTATTATTACATTACAAAGGTTTTAAAACAAGGAAAGGACCAAAAAATGGTGGAAAGATTGTGTAAATGATGTTATGTGTAAAAGAGAAGTAAGTCCAGGTATGACGTCTGATAGGAATTTGTGAAAAAGAAACATACACTGTGTTGACCCCAAATATAAGAGAAAAGGACAATGGAAGGATTCTTATGTGAAATATTAATTTTATTGCAGATTTGGGTACAGCTGTTAAAGCAGTAGTTAATTAATATTTAATTATAAGATAACTTATAATTATTATCATGAGCGAAACAGTATACTCTGTTATGTCCATGGTACTGCTCATGTCTATAGGCCATTCTGAGTTGCATTAAATAAAAATATTATATAAAACTTACATTTGTATATAGGTATTATTATATATTCTGTTCGTTTCCCGTGGGTGTCATAAGAAGCAACTAAGGAAATTTCTTAGTTAAAGGATGGGCAGCAGCGTCTCTTCTAAAGCATCAGAGTATACTATTTCGTCCATGATACCCCCATACATTGCCATTTCTGAGAACTTAAATGATATATCTCTGTACTCTGTAAATTCACTGCCATATTCCACACTTCAAACTGAAACAATGCCATGCAAACACAACTGCTTCACGGTAGAAATACAAATGGAACAAAGATACTCAAGCAAAGGAAATTTGTATAGTCTCCCTTTAGTAAATAATAACGTAAAACTTGGATATTTTGTATATTAATTATGTTAAATGTTGCTGTGTTGTATGTAGCTCTATAGATAAAAATAAATACATTGGTATATTATTGAATCCCCCCCCCCCCAACCTTCCCCACCCGAAGTAATTGCGTTACATTATTAATGTTCCTGGTGACCTATTGTAAAAGGAGGGGAAGTTAAAAGCAAATGACCAAAATCGATATTGTGGCCTTTAATAATTGATACGTCTAGTCGGAAATAAGTTCGTTTCTACATTTGAATTGTTTGCGTGTCTTATCGACCGGTTGCTTCGGGCTTTAACGTTGATACAATCTGACAAAATGATCGGAATTATTGTATTGTTTCGTTTCGAATTCATTGTCGTCGATACAATGAAAAATTCTATTCAGACAGAAAAAAAATATCGTCTTTATGAGATAAGGAACGAATATGGAAGTTATTTATTTCGATTAAAAATAAATATGAAAATTAGTTCAATATTGAATCTTGGAAGTCGATAAGTAATTTTATGCTTGAATAACTCATAAAACATAACCGTTCCATATATATTTTATACATAATAGTCTAATTATATGTTTATTTTTATTTAACTCTTTATTGCACCATAAATAAAAATATACAATGACAAGTGAATAATTCAAGTGAAATACAGTAACATAAATACAGATTGAAATATACACATAAAGGTACAAAAGGCGGTCTTATCGCTAGGGCAATCTCTTACAGACAACCTTTAGTTAAAGGAGAACAGATATATATATAATATATCAAGTCTTGCTTTATTTTTCCTCTATTCAATAATGCACCGCCTACATATTTCTCGGTCTGCCCAATGATTGACTGATAGAGAACACCGTCCGGTGTTAAGTTCGCCAAATGTACATAGAATTTTACTGTATATTAAAGTTTAAATAAGTAAATAATAGATATGATTGGGCCCTTCATGTTTCGCCATTCTTGAGGACTAGTATGTAGTATGTATGTAGTATGCCTTCGTACGCAGTTAATAACCAATAATAATACATGGTCTTATTTTATACTAGGTAGTTTTATTTTATTTGGCTTATAACGGAATGGTAACCCCACACGCGCTAATGGTATATATACACTGGCGGGGCAGCAAGGAGGGATTACAGGTGAAGATGAAAGGCAAGTCGGTTTGTCCATCGTGATGAATACATCTGTGGTTCAGCACGATGGTTTCCCGGGGGGACCACGTGAAGATCGACCTGACAGGGTATATTGCTAGCAATGGGACTGGTAACCCGTATTATAAACAATTCCTTCCTCCTATATTAGACAGTTGTACTCCACCGAATTTATTGAAATACAATAAAAGATAAACATAAACTGGGATAGGATCTATCTGCGTATAAAATGTATATGAAATCTTATAGGCGTGAATG